AGCACAGGGAATGTGCTCAGGACTGCTGCCTTTTCTTGTGGCAGCACAAGGAGAGTGCCTGTGGCTGGTGCCTTTCTCAGAGATAGGGAAAAGTGAATGATGCCAAAGCCCCTGCCACTGAATGCTGCTGAAACCATGTTTACGGGCTGGATCAAATGGCTCCATGGGGTGCAGGTTGCTGACCTCTTCACTACAAAGATTTGTATAATGTACACTTGTTAATTACTTCAGGGAGGGTGGAAAATAATTCTGCTTATTTTTATAGATAGTGTAAGAGTGATGTTGCTGCAGTGATGGTCCAAAAATGATGCAAGAGGCAAAAATTTCTTTAGGTGATATATTTTATCGGACCGTCAGTGTATCTGGGACAAAGTTAGACAAGCTTTCAAATGCAAGACTTCCTTTCTCAGGTCTGTTTTTATAGGGGAATCTGAGCAGTCATGGAAAATGTTGTTTCCTATGACATGACCATAACATATTTTAATCACACGCGGCTTCAAAACTCATGTAAAAAAGCTGGAGTCATACAGAGGAGTTAGCCAAAAACAATATTTTACTTGAGATAAAACAACATAAGAAAACAGAAGATTCCTGATTAATAGTTTCAAAATAGGCTTCCATTCAGAGTAACATTTGGAAAAAAAAGAAAGACAAAATGGAATGATAGAAATGGGAAATTACCATAAGAAAAAATCACCTAGCCTGACAAATTAGAAGAGAAATATATGCCTGCAGTATGTCAGGTGCTATAAATTATAATCATATGATTATACTTCAATTGCTGTATAATCTGCTCATATATATATAACTGCAATGTACATTTTCTGCTTTTGATACTGATTTTATTCATCAAGTGTTAAAACATTGGGTCAGACTGAAATGTATAAGTCATTATTATAAGATATTTAAATACCTCTTCTATTAGAAAATCATCTTTTGACAGTCTTGGGTTAATTCTACAAGTTGTTACATAGGTATCATATTCAAACTGTTATGTAAATGTAGTAATTTTTGCATGTGAATAATGCTAGAGTGATGGCAGTAAATACAGCACATCTGAATTCTAGTTAAACAGTTAATGTAATATTTCCTGAAAACTCAAGTGAAAAATTCATTCAAATTGTCTTATAAAGGGTGCTGTCATGTGGACTGAAAACTGGAATGTACGGTGATATATTTTTAGGAGGACTGTATAGTTGAGCAACTCTTAAAGATCAGTGCTCAGACTAGTCCTATTAAAGATCTTCATTAAGAACCTGGAAAAAGAGTGAAATTTAAATTAACAGATGATGTTAAATTAGGTGGAGTTGTGAATACTAGCCAAGGAGGATGAATTTAATACTACATGGGGAAAAAAGAAAAGAAAGTAACACCAAGATAATGCAAATATTAATAACAGAATTAAGATAACTAAATGCAGGATTTTAGAAGGAATTGCAATATCTTGGGAGCATGCTACATTCTCACTTATGCAAATGGCATTTCATACTCTGGTGTCATGGTTGTGATCTCATGCTTGAGACATGCCCAGATGCACAGACATAGGAAGGAGGGGCAGAAAAGGAGATTGCCCTGGGCTGCCCTTTGCTCAGGTCTTCAAAACAACCAGATTTTTCAGCCTTGTTCAATAAGTGTTCCCCATCACACTTATATCAGGGAATGCTTCTCAGTGCAGGGGTCTGTGTATGAGGGAACACCTAAATATTTTTTCCTACACATTAAAATCCATTGGGTGTGCCACAGCTGTAATGTTAGTATAACATATGCTTTTTACTTCACCAACATGCATATCTCATATTGACAGCAGACTGTAAGGATAGACTGCAGCTTTGAAATCCATCAACAGCCAGAATTTGAGTGTCACACAGCTTCTAAGGTCATTGTCAGGAAACCATTTTTAGCTGCAAACAATTTTAACTGCTTTCCTGATCAGATAATATCCTCATTATCTGGAGTAACTCATACCAAGTGTCATTGGATATATAAAAAAAGCTAAATTCATTTTCTTGCACAAAGTTTGAATTTTAGACCTCAGAATACACACTCTTTTGGGGTCTGTTCAATATTTTACAATATAATTTTTGTCAAATGTGACTTGCATGTAGCCTCCTTTATGTTGAAGAAACCCAAGATGATGGAAGCAGAATATAAGCACTTATATTCGCAGTCATTATCTCCTAATTATTATCCAACCTGTCAAAGTGCTTTTTCTCCAAGTTTCATTAATTTTTTCTGCAGCAGCATTCTCTTGGTTACAAATCACTTGTGGATTATGTTTCCTATTTTATTTGGCAAACAAGAAAACTTCTATATCATCCATATGACAAGAAAATCAGTCACATTTTCAGATTAAAACTTATCATTGTCTCCCCCACCTTTTAATTGGTTATACCTTTAAAATGGGGTCTATTCTTTTGAAAACAAATAAAGATGATGATGTACTGACCAGGTACAGCAGGCAATCATGTAGGCAAAGCCAAAGGTGCACTCATGAAAGCTGGATTAATCAAATGTATGAGTCAAAGAGATGGGCAAAAGCTAAGTGCTGGTGGAACCACTACCTTGTTCCTCCACTGATCCTGACCCCCTTCTCATAAAAAATACACTCAAAAGCTTTTTACTTATGTGTATATGGTGGCTAGAAGCCCCCTCAGGCTCCACAGGGGCTGGGGGAAACACTGAGAGCCCCAGCATAGGATAAACAGACCCCCTACGCCCGGGAAACCTTCAGGCGTGCAGCTGGAGCAGGAATAGGTGCCACGGCTGCACGAGCCAGCATTTCGTCGGCTCTTCAAACGGCTGCTCTCAGGGCAGGGTAGCGCTGGGCCAATGGTGGCGGTGGGAGATGCTGCCGTGGGATGATTTAAAAACCGTGCTAGAAGCCAGCAGGGGAGGAAGGAAAGAGAGAGAAGCCAGTGGGGAGCACGCCATTTTAGGCTATTCGCAGGCAAAAGCAGGTATCAGATTTAGGCACAAATAGTGAAAGCACATTAACGCATGTGTAGATGCATTAAGATGAATTAACACTGTGTATGAACTGATTTGGGAATAACTTTAGTCCCACGTCAGTCTGCGCCCCCAGCATTAATGTGCTTTAACGTGTGTATGTATAGATGCAAGCCTAAATTACCTTAATGCACATTAAACTAATGTGTATTAAATTTAGGCACGCCTAAATGCACATGTAGACATGCCCATAGACTGTTTTAAAAATGGTGGAACCCAGTCTAAGGTTTGCTCCCCCAACCACCAAAGGGTGAATGTGTGTTCTGTTTGCTGCCAATTTAAACTACATCACTTACAGAAAACCATGTATCTAGCTTCAAGGATAGAAAGAACAGTATTGTTGAGGAGGTATAAATCTCTGTACCTGTAAGATTTTATCAGTACATAATATTTGAGCTAGGTCCTATAGCAGGTTCATGGGAGTAGAGAACTGGGTCTGGAACTTGAGGGTTCTTTAACTTCAGTTAACTAGCTGCCATTCTACAGTTCCATTAGAACTCAGCTGAATGCTCTTAAATTCTGGTCACTAATGTCATTTATTTTTTTCAGATCCATTATAGAAGTTAGAGATAGCTAACCGTAATAGGTCATTTAGTTCATGCCCCTTTGAGTTCAGACATGTTTTCTACAGAGTTGTTCAATCGCATGCTTTTTTCAAATACTTCTTTCTCTGACAGGAACTCATCTTCTCTACTTATAAGGAATAACCCTGAGACAGTAATTACCTTGTAATCCTCTGTGGTGAAAACTAATCCAAAAAAAATCCAGGCTTGCCAAATATAAGAAATCCCTCTGTATTAATTTAGACCTTCTTGTTGATGTCTTTTCCCCCCCCTCCCTCTGGGAAGTATCATAAGGGAGCAGATCAAGGATACTCTCAACCTAAGACCATTTCAGCATTTTAAATAAAACAATTGAGTTTTTACAGTCATTCACTCTGAAACACTGATTTTCATTTCCTGCTTTGTTGCTTCTTGCCAAACATCTTTTATTTAGTTCTCTTGGGCTATTGCCAAAATATAGTATAAATAAATTAGTACTTTCTCTGAATGCCTGGATTCTTTCAATGTACCAAATAGCAAAGAATAAAAAATTAGGAGCATGAAACCTTCTTATCTTTATAGCTCAAATTAATTTAGAGACCTCTTGATATTTTTAGCCTTGAAGCAAGTAGGATTCTATTTGGAATATTAAACCACAATCAGAAATAATGATTTATTTTTGTTGTGTGTGGAGGGGAGAGTTTTCAATAGAAAACATTGTTTACATGCTAGTTATACACACATGTATACATCAACATGCGTGAGTGTATACACATGTGCACCACCCCCATTTAATAGACCCGAAGTATTTGATCATTAATTTTTTTGTTTGTTTATTTGTAGGAACCCTTTATTTTCAATGGTATTACAAGCAAACCAAGCAGGAACAGATGAATTCTGGAGATCAACACTTGAATATGTTGGCAGGGTTTGGGCTTCTTTGACCATGAGATGGTGTTGCTAGAAGAAGGACCTGTTGTGAAGAGAAGGGGTCCACCAAGAATGTCTTTGAATACTGTATCATTAAGCTACCAAGGAGGGCTTTAAATTTGAGTTAACCAGGGATTGAGACAAAAGCTCAGAGGTAAGTAAAGAGCCAGGTAATCTGGATAAAAAACAAGGATGAGGAAGCAATAAAGGAAGCATCAACAATATTCTCAGAGAGAAATTGGGACAATCAGTTGCCTAAAATATTTATATATGAATGCAAGAACTATGGGAAATAAGCAGGAAGAATGAGAAGTCTTAGTACAGTAACAGAATTATGGTGTAAAAGTGATAACAGACACCTACTAATTTATTTACATGACCAGGGTACTGCCATGAATGGGTACAATTTGTTCAGGAAGAAGAGGTAGGGGAAAAAGGAGGTAGTATTGCCGCATACATAAGAGATGTACGCTTGTTCTGATGTTTGGTGCGAAGTGGGAGGTAGTGCTGTTGAAAACCTTTGAGTTACAATCAGAGGGGAGAGCAGCATAGTGGGTGTCTATTATCAACCACCAAACCAGAAGGAAGAGGTGGGTTATGCCTTTTTTAAACAACTGCTGAAAGTTTCCAAATCACAGGATATGATTTTTCTGGGGGCCTTTATTTTCTGTGTCATCTGCTGAGAGGGAAACATGGCAGTCCATCATATATTTGGAGTGCATTGGGAATAACTTTTTGGAGGCCACCTAGAGTAGCAAGTCTTCTCACTTGGCTTCTTACAAATGGGACAATTTGAGAATGTGAGGGTAGAATGTAACTTGAGTCAGTGACCACAAAATAATAGAGTTCAAAATCCTAAGGGAGGGAAAGAAGGAAGGAAGCAAGGAAAGACTTTGACTTTTTAATTACTTTATTCAGGGATTTGGGGTACAAAAAGTTGCCCCTCAGGGGTACAGGTCCAATATACAAAGCAAAGACAAACAAATTACCATCAAACCAAGAGCACGATGCCATTACATTCATAACATCATACCGTGACAGACACCTTCTCTGTATTACACATCGTGCCTAACATGGCTATATGCGATTGGGACACTGGCCACACAGTTGTATAGACCAAAGTCCTCTATCAACAAATGATTCCTACCCTGCTGTATCCAATCATACATATGACAACACCTTCAACTTACCACACACAGAAAAAAGCAAAAAGCAGCCTAACAAGGGCCCAGGGCATGGCACGAGTTGGGAGTCGCAGTCTGATACTGAGCCTGTCCGATTGCTCAGACCGGTTGTGACATCAGAGTGCGTATTGAAGATGGCCATCCTCCATGGCACAGCACTCCCTCAAGGGCCCAGTGTGCTCAAAGGCGGGCACCACTTGCTGGAGCACAGCATGATCAAAGTCCAGCGAGAGGCGCGCCTGCATCAGGAGGCTGAAAAGCTGCAGGGTCCCAGCAAGCTGGTTGTGGCAGCTCTTGAGGATGGCCATCTTGGCCTGACCCAGTAGAAAGCTGGCCAGGCAGACGGTGCCCCACTTGGCCACCCAGTACGGGTAGGAGCACATGTAGATGGTCCTCAAGAGGCTCCTGTCCCATGCCTGCAGTAGTGGCTCGAGAGTGACAAAGAGCGGCTGCTGGGGGGGGGTGGGGCGGTTGAAGGCGTGAAAGAGGTTCTCAATGCTCGTGGGGCAGAAGGGGCATGCCATCAAGGTGGCTGGGTCAAAGTGGGACTGTAACAGGGAACCGTAACCCTGTTACCAGGAATCAGGGTGGGCCCTTTAAATCCAGAACCTTCTGGGCACGGCCAGCTGGTCAAGTAGGGGTTAAGGATTGAACCCTGCCAGCCGGTCAGGTGACAGGAAGGGGAAGGCCAGAACCCTATAAACTGCAAATGGAGAAGAACAGAGAGGCAGCAGAGAGGGGGACTCCCAAAGACTATGGTACAGCTGCAGCAGCCTCTTTGGGAAGAATACGCCATGCTGTGAGCCAGAAGCATGATCACATAAACTAAGCGGGCATATTGCCTCTCTTATTTCTTTATTATTATTTTCATTATATGGCCATAGGAGCCTATGGTTTATTTTGGATGTAAAAAAAAAAAAAGCTGGTGGTTTGTGGCTGAGGCTGTAGGGGTGGAGGAGACTTCATTATTGCCAAGGGGTGCCGTGATAGTGGGGTTCAGGAAGCCGTGCGGCACTAGGGGTGCCACACTAGGGCCAGGAGCTCAGAGTTACTTGAAGGGGAGATAGGAGCCTTGAAGCCAGATCCTAGCAGGTGGACTTAGGTGAAAGGCCCTAACTACAGAAAGAGGGGCAAAGCTGAAGGGGGCTGAGGCCCCAACAGTATGATGCCACAGGGGCGCACAGTGTAGAAGGGCCAGTAGGTCTGGTGTCACGGAGAGCATGGAAGAGAGGGCCTTGAGCCTGAGTGAGTTAGAGAGCTAGAGCCTCGGAGTGAAGCCCCATTTAATGGGTTTTGACTGAGAGGTCTAGCTAGAGAGAGAGGGGGGTAAGCCCACAGTGGCTGAGACCCCAACATAAAGTGAAATATAAAACCATCTGCAAGACTTGGGCTGCAGTGTAGGGGAGGAATGGAGCCACAGATAGCGCCCCCTGGCATCGGGGCAAGAAATGGGCAGCCTTTTGCCTAATTAACATCCTAATTAAATATCATCAAGGCATGGCAGGTGAGAAGGCGGGTGGTTGGCCCAGAAACAGGTGGGTGGGCCAATGGCAAATTGGCCCGAAGAAGGCCCCTCCATTACAGGGGCACAAATGTGCCAGTGGCTAGAATGCTGTGCAGCAACCACCAGTTCAGGATGCCAGTCTTCTTGGTGGTTGGCAGCTTATACAATGTGTGCCAAACTGGGTGGGCTGGTTGGTAATCTGGTGGCCCCAGGTACTGTTGCCTTGGTGTATTGGGGCAGCCCACCAGCACCTGGGCATGGCGGACATGAACCATCCAGGCATATAGGCTTCTACACAACAGAACAGCAAAGGGGAACCCGTGTCATTGTCAGGAGGGACAGGGAGCATCAGCAGGGTACCAGGCCCATGGCCAGCTCACTGGCTGTGGCTGGGGTGACTGGCAGTGCAGGAAAAGCCTCACTTGGGGAATTCATGGTGTGGAGGACCTGGTGTGCCCAGAGATGGTCATCCAGGGTGGCTTCTGCTTCTGGTGGGAGGGCAGCCTGGATGTCACGCAGGAGATGGCCCACACTGCAGATGGAGTGCATGCCTAGCCGGGAGGTCAGGGCCTCGGGTAAGAGCCAGGCCGACTAAGCGTGGTCAAGGAGGTGGCTCAGGCAGAGGACATACACCTGGATGAAAGTGGCCATGAGGCTGGCAGAGGCCAGGCTCATCACGGGGCACCTCAGGGCTGGGTTGTGCACCAGGGGCTCCCTCAGCAGCTGTGGGAACTGCAGGTGCTGGGGCTGGAGGTGGAAGGTATCCTGCCAGGCTCATACCATACCACAGCAGAAAGCCAGAAGCACCACCCAGTTTAGGAGCATGAGGTCCAGCAAGAAGAGCTCCTGGTCAAAGCTGAGGGCCCCCTCCCTCTGCAGGAACCAGCATGCCAGTTGTAGCTAGGGTAGGCTCTCCTTGCCATAGAGGAGTTGTTGAAGGGCTTGTAGGCAGAAGGCGGCTACCTTGCTCACCAGGTCAACTAGGCTCTGGCCCCCCTCAGTAACAGGTAGGTAAAGGACAGCTTGTGGGAGCCAGTGGCACCCATCCCAGAAAAAAATCTACCAGGAGGCAATGGAGCCTCTCGAGTAGGTCCTGTGGTCGAGTAGGTCCTGTGGTGGGTTGACACTGGTGCCACAGGGTCACCGCCACCAGGTTGTTTGTGATGAGGACACATCCATGGAAGGAGAGGCTGCATAGGTGCCAGTGCCACCGTTGCAGGTGGGTCTCAACCCCCTCCTCAAGACCATCCCAGTTGCATGCCATGAAGGTTGGTGGCCCTGGGAACACGCCTAGGACCTTGAGGCCCTTTTGGCACCAGGTGAGGCCCCCTGGCAAATCCTGGGGTGGGTCGCACTGATCCATGCACCAAGCAGCAGGTTATTGCTCTTGGCCCTGGTGATACGGGCTGTGGAGGCTCGTTCATAGACTCACTGGCAATCTGTCAGGGCCCACACATCTTCCTGGGTGTTAAGGAAGATAGTCACGTCATCCGCATATGCTAACAGCTGGAGCAGAGGGCCAATGGACGGACCCATGGCTGGTGGCAAGGCCATACCACTCAGGTGGTGCTACAGCGCATGTAGCAGTGGCTTGATGGTCAGGGCATAGAGCATGCCTGACAGGGGGCAGCCCTGATGGATACCCCTGCATGCAGGGAATGGGGTGCAGAGCACGATGTTCACCCTTAGCAGGATGGAGGTGTCTTGGTACAAGACCTTGAGGGCCTCGGTGAAGAGGGGCCCAAAGCCAAAGGCCTCCTGGGTCTGGAAAAGGTAGGCATGGCCCACTTGGTCAAAGGCCTTCTTATGATCCAGAGAGATGAGGCTGATGTCTAGGCTGAAGAATTCACTGTCTGTGAGTAGGTCATGTAGCAGCAACAGGT